GATTGGCTAGGGCTTCAATGACCGCTTCCGTCTCAACAGAATCAAAGGCCTTCTTTAAATCAATGAACGTTAAGCAGAGCGGCATCTTGAACTCCCGAGAAACCTCAATGAGTTTGGTTATCGTGTGGATATGGTCGATGGTGCTGAATCCTTTGCGGAACCCTGCTTGCTCACATGGTTGTCCTTCATCTAGTGTTCTGCCAATCCTATTCAGGATGACTCGAGTGAACAACTTGTAGATGACAGACAATAGGCAGATCGGGCGATAGTTGCCAATGTCATGGATGTCTCCCTTCTTGAACAGTAGTACGGTCCTGCTGGTTTTCCATTGAGATGGAACCTTGCATTCAGACAGGTAGCGAGTGAAGAGCCGAGCCAGTGTATTGATGAGTACTGACGGCAGGTTCTTCAGGTGTTCAGGTCTGACCTTGTCTGGGCCGGGTGCTGTTTGCTTCTTTACTGACGAAATGGCGTGTCGGATTTCGGAAGGGAGAACGTTGGGAACGACATACCCATCCTGTGGAATTTGGTATGTCGGCAAGTGGACATGGCTATCGAAGAGATTTGAGTAGAAGTCATGGATAATCTTCTCCATTGCCGTTCTGGAGGATGTGATGGATCCATCAGGACGTCGGAGGGCAGTCATCTTGGTCTCGACACTACTTCCACTACCCAGCCGTCGCCACACTCCAGGACGCTTTCCGGACCCATCATAAGACACTAAATACCCGTCTTCTGGAATTGTCGTACCATATTTGATAAGGTTCAAATATGGTAACACCTACAAGGGTGATTAGAGGTCACCCCAAAAGCCTCTATACCTCTCGGAAAGACTGGCAAGCTACCGAGAGTATTCCGCCCGCACGGAAGAGCCTGGCAAGCTATCCGCTGTGTATTCGATATGCCAATACCAGTAACTACAACTGGTCTCATTCACCTGACCCTGAAGGCTTCACCGACATGGCAGCACGGAGAAGGATGAGAAAGGAGAGGCCGACAAAATCTCAAGGCCGACCTAGGCTGCCACAACGAAGGAAGACAAAAATGATCGTCTGTACTTTCAATGCACGTACGCTAGCATCAGATGCATCCATCGAGGACCTGATGGTACAAGCGCGAATGATCAAGTACGACATCATTGGTCTGACCGAGACAAGAAGGCACGAATCTCACCATGCCGTTTTCGACACTGGAGAAGAATTGTTCCTCGGAACATGCGATAAAAGAGGTGTTGGAGGCGTCGGTGTCCTTATCAACACAAACTTGGCCAAGAGCATTGATTCATTCGAATGCCTAACAACCCGAATCGGACGTTTACATTTGAATAGATGTGGCTCACTGCCTGCAGTTTCTATCTTCGTTGTCTACGCACCAACATCTCATTATGATGAAAGAGAAATCGAGAAGTTCTACATGGAGCTAGAGAAATTCTATAAAGAAGACCACACCTTCTACAAGATCATTGTGGGTGATTTTAATGCCAAGATAGGACCGAGAAGATCAGCTGAAGAACTTCACATCGGAACCCATGGCCTAGAATGGAACGAACAGGGTGAGAGACTGTCTGAGTTCATCATGTCGACCAAGACCATTCATGGTAACTCACAGTTCCAGAAGGCAGAATCTAAACGATGGACATGGGAGTCTCCCGGTGGACGATTCCACAACGAAATAGACCACATCATATTCAATCGACGGTTTTGCCTGACTGATGTCGCTGTTGTCCCAAAATTTCGAACGGGATCGGACCACCGTCTCCTTCGTGCAAAATTCTACTTCACAGAGCGGGGAGAAAGGGCTGCAAAGTTCAAAAAGAGAACTCCCAGAATGACCACCAACTGGGAACTCTTTGGTACTATTGCGGCAACATGGGAAGATGCCATTGTTGACAACATTGACGAGGAATACGATCGACTGGTTCAGCACCTCCATGAATGTGCGAGGAACGCCAAGAGAGAGATAGCCACAAAAAGTCGCCTATCTTCGAAAACTCTTGAGCTAATTCGCCAGCGTGGTTTGGCGCAAGCCTCAGGCAACCGCAAGCTAACGTCCGAGCTTGCAAAGCAGTGCAGAGATGCGATCAAGGAAGACCTCAAAGAGAGAAGAGCAGAAGTACTGGTAGATGCGGCAGAAGCCGGGAAAAGTATTCGTAACGCCCGCCTGTCCTTCGCCAACCTTCACAAAGACCTCCCAAATCTCACATACCCTCCAACTCTCCTGCACAAATCTGCAACTGTCTCATAGACCCCCAATTCTCTTTCAAAGACAAATCGCTCTCACACAGACCACCAACTAGTCTCAAAAAAAAAAGACCTTTCCTCACAGACCTCAGCTCTTTTCACGGACCCCCAACCTCTCCATGGTCTCCCCACAAATCCTCACTCTCCAACTCTTGTCAAAGTTATCCAGCTTTCCACACAGGCCCTGGAGCTCTTATCAAAGCCCCCCAAATCACCTCACAGATATCTCCAACTCTCTTCACACAGACCTGTTAGCCTCCTCACAGACACCCCAGCTCTCTCCACAGGCCCTCACTCCAGCTTACATGTGAATCCCCAGGGGCTACAGGGCTATCTGGTGCTGTCAAGCAGCCCCTAATGCCATGTGGTCCTGATGTGGGGGTAGGAAAGGAACAGCCCCTGTGGCCAGCAGGCCCATGTGGCAGAGCCACTGGAGAGATCCACAGGCCTAGGGCCCCAACCACCCCCTGCCCACAGAAGGGGCCCTTTGAGATCCCATGCCCTGTGCCCACCCCAAGGCCTCTGCTTCACCTGTTGACAGGCGTCAGTACACCTGAGCCTATGGGCACATGCGTCCCACCTGGCTGACCTTCACACCCTCCAAGGTACATGGCAGGTGGGTGCAAGGTAACTGGGGTAAGGGAAGTAGCTGGGGATAGGCCCCACCTATGAGTGGGCAACACAGGCACACACCACAGGCCCGTGTGCTCTATACAAATGCATGCACACTGATGTGCCTGCATGTACACGCACGCACATGTGTGCACACGTGGTGATACAGTGCATTACCTAAAGATGAGCAGTAACAGGTACGTCTGCACACACGCATACATGAATGTGTGTGGGCTGTGTCATGCACTGTGTAGAACACGTGTGCTGCACTGGGGGCGTATACCAATGTGCATCTGCTCGCAGGTCGCACATGTCTGCAGGCACGGAGTGGGTCGGCAGGCTCCCAGCCCAGAGCAGGTGGCGGGCTGCGCATGCAGTGCTCCCGCACCTCGCCAGGGGGCGCAGGAGGGTGACCCACCAGCACCTGCTGCCCTGCGGCTTGTGGGCAGGGACACAGGAGCGCGGGCCCACGGTGTCCACAGGCAGAAACACGGAATGGCAGCTCTGACTCACGGCAGCCCCTTGCCTGCACCTGGGTGGGGCTCGGTCAGGGGTCTCTGCAGGCCACTGGTGCCCAGAGTCAGTGTCCAGCAGAATTCTGTGGCCACGCCTGGGCCCCAGAGGTGCCTCAGCTCAAGGAGAAGGAAGGCAGCGGGCAGGGATGCCAGCGCCGTGTCCGAGCGCCCAGACGCCATGTGACACAGAGGGGGCCTGGCCCGGGCCGACGGGACAGTGTCCAGCCACTGGCCACCTGAATGCCTGCTAACTGCCCACCTGCCCAACATCTGGGGGGCGGCTAGTCCCAGAGGTGCCTCTTATGTCTGGGGACACTTCATGTGGCGGTCAGAGTCTGCAAGTCCTCCCTGGGCCCGGCTGGGTTCCTAACCAGAACCACACCTGGGTGGTGTGGGAGACCCTCAAGACCCCCAAACCAGGCCCACCCAGAGGCCCCGCGGCGGCCGAAGGGGACGGGTCAGACGCTCGTCCACTGCCCCCTGCTGGCGGTACTGGCGCACTGCATGGCAGAGCCGGCTGGGTAGGGCCAGCGTGGTCTGGGTGCAGCCAGGAAGCGGCCGGCTGCCTGCTGGAGGGGCTGGCCGGTGAGGCTGAGGCGCCCCACCCATCAGCCAGCAGCAGGCACAGGGCCCGACTGGCCCTCGCCGTCAGCTGCGGGGTTCTGGAGGCGGACTCTCCACCAGCCTCCCTGCAAGGCTGGCTGGGCTGGTGGGTGGGGCTGAAATCCACCGCCCTGCCTCCAGGCCCGCTGGCTCAAGAGAGCAGGTGAAGGGCAGAGTCTGTGGGAACCCACACGCGGATCCCTGCACAACAAGGAGACAGCTCCACCCTCCTGGGCCCTGTTTGGGGGCCCTGGCCTGGTGCCCCCGATCCGGGCAGGGGACCCCCCTCTTCTCAGTCCCCCTACAGCCCTTCCCCTTCCCCCAGACCCCAGACCCAGCCAGAGGTGGGGCACACTGCTGACCTCTCCCTGATGTCCAGAGAAGCAGGCGGAGCTGCTGTTCTCGGGCCACCCAGCCGAGACGGCCAGGCCTCCTGGAATCCCATGGTGGCCAGGTTACCATGGTGATGCCCATTATCTCTGCCTAACGGGAGATGAATCAGGAGCTAAAATTAGCCCCCAGGGAAGGAGGATGAGATTGGGGGCAGGGGCCGGGGCAGGGCCAGGGTAGCCCCCCAGGTGGAGGGTGGTTGGGGGGGAGACGGGCAGGTGCCTGGTTTTCCCCCAGACCTCGGACTTGAGGAGGAAACTCTCTAAAATCCGCCCAGGCCTGGAGGCTCCAGGAAGTGCTGGCCCTGACCCCCTGACGCAGCTGGGAGCCCCCCCTCACCCAGACAGCTCTAAGTGGGCTGCCTCAGGCCTGCCTCACTGAAGCGGCTTCTGTTCCTTGCCTGGGAGTGTGGCCACACAGGGTCAGGACAGAGACAGACACCAGAGTTGCACACACACTTTATTAGCTGAAGCAAGCAGATCTGGGGGGCTGGGAGGAGACAGACAGGCGGTGAGGAGCAGGCAGACCCCCAAGCCCACAGCTGCCCTGGGGACCCCCTAGCATCCCTGGCTGGGGCCCCCACATCTCCAGCCCCCTCCCTGGGGCTCCCCCAGGGCTGACCAGACAGCAGGCACAGGGGTCAGGGGTGGGCCGAGGCTGCGCGACTTGGGCTGCTGGGAGGTGGGGGATGGACGCCAGTGGCCCCTCCGGGCCCCGTGCCCACCGTGGCCTGCACGCGGGAGCCAAGGGGCGGCAGCCCTTTGTGGCTGTAGAAGTCCACCACCTGCTTGGGCACCTCGGCCAGCACACACTTGGCCAGTGCGGCAGGGGACGCCTGCAGGGAGGGGACAGCGGGCACAGCTAGGGGTCTGGGTCTCCTCGTCCCCACTGGGGACATGCCAGCCCATCCTGATGGCCAGAGAGCCTGGTGGAGGGTCCACAGCCCACAGCCCTGCCAGCAGGGAGCCACTGCCCAGCACCGACCCTGGGGCCCCCTCCCAGGGCTTCAAGCACAGAGAGGCAGAAGCAGGGCCCAGGGCCCATTCCCACAGGCAGCGAAACCACGTGTGTGCAAATGTGCATGCATGAATAACCTGTGTGCGCACGTGTCTCTATGCACCTGCATGTGCGCAGTACTGCCCTGTGCTTGTGTACATGTGTACACACGTCTGTGTCTATGCAGCTGCATGGGCATAGACATGTAACCCATGTGCCTGAGGGCATGCATGCCTTGTGCATGGGTCTTGTGCGTGCTCACACGTGCACGCACTGCTTTGTGTGCATGTGTGTCGGAGCACGGTTTCAAGCACACGTGTGTGTTCTGATAGGTGTTCATGTGTGGCCCCACATGCAGCCTTCAGGCCACACTCTGCAGCAAGAGGGCGGTGGCTGCAGGAGCCAGGCCTCCCTCCCTCCCTCCGTCCTGACCGCTCCCGACAGTGCTCTGCACTCACGTTCTTGAGCTCCCGGAAGGGCACGAACTGCACGATGTCTCTGAGCGCGGGCTCGCCCCGTGGGGACCGCAGCACGCCGTCGTCCCCGTCCAGGATCCGCATGTCCGTGAAGTCGGCGTTCCCCACGCCCACGATGATGATGGACATGGGCAGGTGGGAGGCGCGCACGATGGCCTCACGGGTGTCCGCCATGTCCGTGACCACGCCGTCGGTCAGGATGAGCAGGATGAAGTATTGCTGGGCACAGGAGGCGGCGGCTGCAGCCCCGGCCAGCAGCAGAAACCCCTGCCCCTGCCGGCTGGGGCGAGCTCAGACCTGCCGCCTCTTTGAAATGGCTCTGCTGCCCTCAGCTGGCCACTACCCCGTCAGTCACCAGCAGCCTCTCCCAGGCCAGAGTGCTGGGGTCCGACCCAGTCAGGACCCAGGTAGAGGGGGCTCCCTGAGGGCCAGGGGGCTCTACGCCACACAGCCTGGACTCGTTTCAAATGCAAATGCCTCAGTAAAAACACCCAGTGTGGGCTGGAGAGACGGCAGGGGTGGGGTGGGAGGACATGGCACTGGCCCTGCACGGGGCCAGCCCAGTACCACTCCCACACCGCAATGGTCCCCAGACATGACAGGGTCACGCCTGAGCACCCAGGTGGCTCCACCCCCACACGTAGATGATGAATAAAGATACTCGGGATGTTTCTGCAAACCTTAACCCAAAGAGAAGACAGGCTGCGGGCGAGCCCCAGGCCGGCTGCCCACTGGCCCAGCCTGCACGTGGCCCAGCCAGGCCAGCAGCCTCAGACCTCCTCCTGCAGGCCTGCCTGCCTCCCACACCCCCCAGTCAGGCTGTGGCCCCTGGACTCGTTCCACTCACCCACGGGGGGTGCCAAGCGCTGCTTCCTGCCAGCCTCCCTGCCCACACCATGTGTAGCAGCAGGGCACAATCGTATGGGGGATGCGAGGCCTGGAGTCACACGGTCCTGTCACCAGCACGCTCCAGGGACAGGGACTGCTCAGGGACCCTCCAAGGGCTTCTGAGGGCACAAGCACCCACAGGCAAGCCTGACTCCTGCCTGCAGGACACAGCAGTGGCACTGTCCCTGGGGCGGCGAGGCCGCAGGCTGCCAACAGCAGGGCACCGTCCTGTCCCGCCTCAGAGGTGCGTTGGGGTCCTGCTCATCTCTTGTGGGGCTTCAAACTCACACTGACAGTGAAACTCTGCTTGGGACTCACCCCCCATGAGCACTGGACACGCTGCCTGACGCCGTCCCTGATGGGCAGGGCTCTGCGCCAGAAGAGTGGCCACAAATCGTCAGTGGCAAGAAAGGGAGCTGGAATGTGCTGAGTATGCGGAAGCGCCCGGTGCAGACTTCCCGAGGAGCTAAAGCGACGTACGGCAGGTCGGGCACGTGCCTCACACACAGCTCTTGTGGGTTCTAGGCCTGGCACCTCGCATGGTCCCCTGAGCCCCACCAGGAGGTGATCCCTGAGCACAGAATCAGAAGTAAGCCCTGAGTACCACTGGGTTTAGCCCCCACCAAAAACTGCCCTTCAGGTTCTCTGTTATGATCTTACAAAGGTGATGTGGATCTCAGGGCACAAGCAGAAGTGACTGGGCAAAGGTCACACATTGTTGGGGCCAGAGAGATACTGCGGCGGGCAGGACACTTGCCTTGCATGCGGCTGACCCAGGTTCAATCCCCAACACCCTACTGGGTCCCCAGAGCCCTGCCAGGAGTGATCCTGACTGCAGAGCAGGAGTGAATTCTGACCACAGCTGAGTGTGATTGAACGCTCCCCCCCCACACACACAAGAGGTCAGAGTCAGACATTGTATCTTGCTCCCAGACGGTTCACCAGGCAACACGGGTGCACAAGAGTGCATTGTGTGAGTATTGTGCATGGATGTGTGCAAGTGTGTCTGTGCTCACGTATGCATAAGTGTGTGTACAAGTATACACATGGGTGCTGTGCATAAGTGTATGCAGGGATACGCAAGAGTGTCTGTATATAAGTGTGTACACACAAGTGTTTGTGTATGCATATGCTCACATGTATAGACATGAGTGTTAACGTACACAAGCATTGTGCGAGTGTGCAAATGTTAGTGTCACATGTGCTGTGTGCACAAGAGCTGCACTCCAGTGCATGTGTGAACAGGTTTGTACATGTGTATTGTGCATGCATGTGTTCAAGTGTGTTTGTGTGTGCACTGTATTGTGAACACGCTGTGGATGCGTGTGGTGTATGCCCATGCATAATGTCATACATTCTCCTAACTCTGAAAGAGCCTTGAATATGGCACTTTAAAAAAAAAATCTCAGGGCTAGGACGAAGAGACGTTCCTGGGGCCTGCTCGAGGCAACTGAAGAATAACAGGATGGTTGTGATTGATTGTGATCGTGCATATGTGTGCCGCTGGGTAGAAAAGCAGTATCCAATGGGAAACACAATACTAGTGCACAAGTTAAAAGCACATACAGATGAAGAGCACAAACTCAACCAGAGTCACAGTACAGCAGGGAGGGCATTTGCTGAGCCAGGTTTGATTCCCAGCATGCCACGTGGTCCCCAAGCACCGCCAGGAGTGATGGCTGAGTGTGGAGCCAGGAGTAAGGCCTGAGCCAACACTTGGTGTGGCCTCAACCCCCCTCCACCCCAAAAAAGGGGCATAAACTCCCAATAAGAGGATAGAAAGTTCCAGCTTGCAAAAGGCAACCTAGGTTTGATCCCTGTCACTGTCACCTCATATGGTCCCTCAAGCCTCCTAGGAGTGATCCCTGAGTGCAGAGCCAGGAATAAGCCCTTAGCACTGCTGAATGTGCCTCCACCCCCCCAAAAAAAGTTCCAGCTTGAGGGTTAAAGAGATAGTACAGTGGGTAGGGGACTTGCTCTGCTGCCAGGAGACCCAGGTTTGGTTCCCAGCAACCTGTATTGTCCCCTGAAGGCCTGCTAGGAGCAATGCCTGGACCACAGTTGCATATGGCCTGAAAAACAAAACGAAGCAAAATTTAAAAAGAGTAAGTTCCAGCTTGAGAAGGGATTGCACAGCATTGAGGATTTTCCTCATGACACTCAAGTGCACACTTCACAATGATTACCTCTGGAAAGTCATGCTGCGTGTTTTACCATAATACAAATAGTTGCCAAACTTGAAAAAAATGCATGTCCAGTCACAGTAGCCACGGACAGTGCAAGGCAGACATGCAGACTGAAATGCAGGGCACATGGGGCGGAACATGGGACACGAACATGAGACACAGCGTGGCAGATAAACAACCCGGAAGCAGCTAAAATCAGCAGGGAGCTGAGCAGAGAGCACGTGCCTGCAGGCCTGAGGGGAGCTGGACCCCACGGCCCTGTGACCCCCACGCCGAGGGCGAGACCAGGAACCAGCCCGCAGAGCCGTGGGATCAGGACGCCCTGTGGTGGGGACTTGAACACAAGGCGGCAAGTCCCCGCGGAACTCTGAGCAGGGGGCGGGGGCAGGGAGGTGCTGGCTGAGAGCAGGGCCTCCAGGTGGGCTCAGGCTAGGAACCGGGGGAAGGACGGCAAACCCCCTGTTCCTGCCCCTACAAAACTGAGGAGCTCCGGCCCCGCCCCACCCAACCACAGCACAAAGCCCTTCTGAAGCCCCGGCCTAGGACCAGCTCCCAGCCCCGCCCACTCCCCCAACCTCGCCCCTCCCGCTCAAGCCACGCCCCAGACCACGCCCCGTTTCTACCACGCCCACACCCAGCCACGCCCACGCACCGCAATGGCCACGCCCACACCCCAATCTCGGCCCCGCCCAGACACCCACCCTAATCAAGCCCTATATCCCCGCCCCCGCCCAGCCCCACCCTGGAGGCCACGCCCGTCCCAGCCACGCCCACCCCGGCCACGCCCTCACCCCAACCGTGCCCCTGCCCAGAGACCCGTCCTGCCCAAGGCCTGCCCCCGCCCCTGCGACGCCCCACCCTAGCCACGCCCCATTCTCACAGCCACGCCCCACCTTGGTGACACCTCACCTCCACTCACAGCCACGCCCCATCCTGGCCACGCCCATCTGGGGCCACGCCCCCGCACCCAGCCACGTCCTCAGACCTGCACCCCAACACTTACCGAGGCCTCCCTGCTGCACTCCTCAGCCGCGGCAGCGCGGGCCACCTTAGAGATGATGGGGGCCACGTTCGTGGGGCCATAGAGCTGGACCCTGGGCAGGCAGTTCCGGTAGGCGTCCACCACCCCCTGGATGCCTGTGGAGGCACAAGGTGAGCGCGGCCCACGGGGCACCCCGGCCCCCGCAGGCACGCACCTCCCGCACCTTCACACTCGTCGTCATCAGGGTTGAAGTTGATGGCAAAGTCGTGGGACACCTGGTGGGCACCGGAAGCTGCAGTGGAAGCGCCTCCCACCGCCTGCCCCTACAGACCCCTGGGGCCACGAGGAGGGGTTGCAAGGGAGGGTCTTGGCCAGGCCCCCTGGCTCGGCTTCCTACCTCGTATTTGGGGGGGATCCGTGCTCCAAACCCCAGAGCAGAGAACCTCTTGTCACTGCAGAGTGCAAACAGGGAACCACTGAGTCAGGCCCCCAGAATGTGCCCCAAGCAAGACCCCACCCAGTGCTGCATATTCCCACACAAGACGCTCACCCGCTCACCCAGTGCCATGCCCCCTACCCAGCACTGTGCCCTTACTGGGTGTCCGCGCAGGGTTGGCATCACAGTTATGCCACATGGAGAAACTGAGGCACAGAGCCATGAGGAGAGCCCCTGAGGGGTCACGCTCCAAGCTGTGTCTGCTACAGCCTAGCCACACTGCTGGGAGCCCCCAAGGGTGGGCTCAGCCATGGCCAAAGACATAAACAGGCCACACAAGAGTGACATGATAGGGTCCCTGGGGTCAGCCCTCTGACAAGACCCTCTGTGCTGCCTCACATGTGGGTGTGGGGTGTGGGTGTGGGTGGGGTGGGTGGAGATGTGGGTGGGGCGGAGGTGGAGAGGATGTGTGGGGCTGTGGTGTGTGTGGTGTGTGGGGAGTATGTGGGTGTGGTGGGGGCTGTGATGTAGGTGGGGTGTGGTGTGCGCTGTGCTGTGGGGCTGTGGTGTGTGTGGGCTGTGCTGTGGGGCTGTGGTGTGGGGAGGCTGTAGGGGGTATGTGGGTGTGGTGAGGCTGTGATGTGTGTGGGGTGTGGTGTGGGTCATGCTGTGGGACTGCAGTGTATGGTTGTGTGTGGGGCTGTGCTGTGGGGCTGCGGTGTATGTGGGTGTGTGTGGGCTGTGGTGGGCTGCGGGGTGTGGGGTGTAGTGGGGGCTGTGTACGCTGTGGTGGGGGCTGCGTGGTGTGTGAGGCTGTGCTGTGGGGCTGCGGTATGTGTGGGTGTGCGTGGGCTGTGGTGTGCGTGTGGGGTGTGGGCTGTGCTGTGGGGCGGGGCGGGGCGTGGCGGGCCGGTACCTGTCGTAGTCCTGGCAGACCTCGCCCACGGCCACCAGGGCCTGCAGGTACTCGTTGGGCTGGGTGGGGCTCATGTGGTGCAGGGAGCAGCTGCTCCGAGGGTCCCCGTTGGAGGCTGTGAAGTCGATGGCCACCTGCGGAGCCACCCCTGAGCTGGGCACCTGCCCGGTCGGGGGCAGCCAGGGGGCCCTCCCCGGGGAGCGAGTTCAGGGCCGGCTTCCTCCTGCCCTGGGCATGTGGGCAGCACGGCTCTGTCTGTCTCCGCCTTCCCCAGCTCTGCCCCCCAGGGCCCCCCTGGGTCAGGAGGGGACCCCGAGCAAGCTCAGTGCCTGGGAGCGTCCCCTGAAGGTGGTCTCACTGTGCCCTCCATGCACGCCCACTGCCCCCCGCCCCCACTCCCCTGCAGCCCCCCCAGCCGCCCCCTGCTGGGCTCACCGTGCAGTGGATCCGGCAGCCGCCCATGATGTAGTCCAGGAAGGAGTGGACCCTGTGCAGCTTCCAGACAGGGGTGTCAGCAGAGCCTGTCTCACCGGGTCCCCGGGCCCTGACCCTTCCCCCGGACCCCCAGAGAGCAAGGGATGGCCTAGAAGTCTGGGCGTCCCCTGTCTGCAGGCTCCACTCACCTTCAGCTGGGCCAAGATGACCACCCCGGAATTCTGGTAGTGACGCTTCTTCTGCTTGTACTTGGGGTTCACGCAGCCCCACTGCGCCTGGGATGGCATGAACAGAGCCCACCCCACGGGGGTCTGGGGAAGGCAGGGACCAAGCCCACCCCACGGGGGTCTGGGGGTGGCTGGGGCAGAGTGCCCCAGGGGTGTGCGGGGGGCAGGGGCAGAGCCCAGGCCGGCCGCTGCCTCTCAGGCAGGCAGAGCTCCGGGCTGCTGGCAGATGACCTCACCTGCCCGCCCTGGAACACCTGGCGCATCTCCTCCAGGGTGGTGGTGAATTCCCCAATGAAGTCGTGTTTGCCGCGGGAGTCATAGTCCCACACGAGAAACTGGAGAGCGAGAGGGACCCTCAGAGTCGCCTCTGCCCCGCGCGCCCCTCCCCGCGGCCCGGCGCCCACCTTGAGGGGTCGCGTCTCCTGGCAGCTGCACAAGGAGCTGAGGGTCACCTTGAATGGCTCCCACTCAGGGTTCAGGTTGTTCTTCACCACCTGGGGGGAGGGGCTAGCTGAGGGGCTGGGGGAAGCAGCCCAGGGAGGGGGTTGCTGGCCCCTGGAGCCCACCTCTGTGCGATACACCAGCTGCTCCGACCCGTCGTCATTGACCCGGAAGAGCTCCAGGAAGGGGTCCGACTTGCTGAAGAGGTCCTGGGGGTGGAGCAGAGTTGGCGAGGGCCCGCCTGACCCCCCTCGTCTCTGTGCACCCTGGGCCTGTGGGTGCGAGTGTGGGAGAGCAGGGGGCCCTGGGGACAGCCAGAACTGCGCCATCCTGTCCTGGGCCACCTGGCAGGGGCTGTCCACCCCTCTTGTCCGCACCTTGTCGTCCAGCTTGCTGGCCCGGAAACAGAACTCCACGAAGCCATTGTTCCCAGATATGTCCTCTGCGGTCACCTAGATAACGTGGGTTCAGCAGGGTGGACAGGCCTGTCCTTGCCCCGTCCCTCCCCGCCCCCGCCCAGGCTCAGCGGGCCCCGTCCGCACCGTGATGGTGGACTTCCCAGCCTTCCTGCCGAGCCTCAGCAGCAGCGGGAGGGTCAGCTTCTTCTGGGCCACGATCTGGGTCAGAACACGGGTCTGAGAAGGGACTCCTGCCTCAGCCTCCCTGCACACCCCCACCCCCAGAACCACGCGTGTCCCTGGGGCCAGGCACATGACACGGCGGATATCGGGGTGCAGAGAGGAAGTGAAACCCCCGGTCCCAGGTCAGCCCCCACATCACACAGGACAGCTCACTCCCGTCCTCTGCGGGGAAGTGGGCGGCAGCTTGGGAGTGTCACTTCCGGCAGGGGCTTCCCCCGTGCGGTCTCTAACCCCCAGCGAGAGGCCAGAAGGAAGGTGACTCCAGGACCGGCCAGTCCTGCCTCCATGGGCCTCCGCTCGCAGGCTGATATGACAAGTAGACCGACACGTTTCTGCACAGGGGTGCCAATACATGTGTTGTCATTGGCCCAACGTGGGTGCCTTGAGTGGATGTGTTGTGTGTGTTCATACACACGAGGACTGAAGTATCAGGCTTGTCCATGATGTGTGTGTACGTTGCTACATGGAGCTGCATGTGTGCATGTGTCTGCAGAAAACCGTGTGTGTTCACATGTGTCTGTGGGGAGCCATGGGGGTGTGTGCATGCGTGTCTGTGAGAGCAGTATGTGAGCACATGTGTTTGTGTGTGCATGTGTCTGTGAGAGCCGGGTGTGTGCATGTGTGTCTGTGAGAGCTGTGAGTGTGTGAGCACATGTGTCTGTGTGTGCACATGTGTCTGTGAGAGCCGGGAGTGTGTGCACGTGTCTTGAGAGCCAGGTGTGTGTATGCATGTGTGTTTGTGAGAGCCGGGCGTGTGTGTGAGAGCCAGGTGTGTGTGTGCACGTGTGTCTGTGTGAGAACCGGGAGTTTGTGTGCACAAGTGTCTGTAAGAGCCGGGCGTGTGTATGCACATGTGTCTGTGAGAGCTGTATGTGAGCACATGTGTCTGTGTGTGCACATGTATCTGTGAAAGCCATGTGTGTGTGTGTGTGTGTGCACATGTCTGTGAGAGCCCTGAGTGCGTCCATCTCTGCGTGTCTGTCTGGCTTGTGTCCTTGTGTGTCCACATTTGCTGAGCCTGTGAGCTCCTGAGGGGCGCACCGCCAACGCCACGGCGCCTCCTGTCTCAGCTCGGACCAGGCGGCAGTGGGATGAGCCAGGCAGGCCTCACGTCTGCCGAGAGGCTGACACAGAACATGCTGTGATTCACGGACACCAGCTCACCGTGCTGGAAAGCTCTGCGGGGAGGGAAGAATGTTCCAGCGGCCTGAGGTGCTCTGAATAGCTGCCCCTGGTCTGGAGGGGGGCTGCGGGTGGGGGCCAGTCTGGGGCAGAAGAGTCCCTCGGTCTGCCCTGGCTGTCTGGAACCAGCCTGTTGCCCTGTGGACCCAGCAGAGGGTGCCTGGGGCTGGACAATGGGAACTCGGGGACATGCCTGGCAGGCGGGGCTGTCCTGGACACAGGCTGCAAGAGGACAAGCAGGTGTGTGCCGCGTCTGCAGGCAGGGGCTGTGCAGGGAGGGCTTGGCTGGTCCTCCCTGAGGGTGAGGCGCAATACTTTAGGGCCACACCCAGCTCACTGCCCCACAGGGCACCCAGAGGGAGCCCCACCCAGAGCTCTTTCCCAAGGATACAAATTCTTGAAAATTACAAATCTAGGGGTCCAGGGCGACAGTATAGCAGGCAGGGTGCTTGCCCTGCACACAGCCAACATGGCTCCATCTCCAGCACCATGTGCGGTTCCGAGCCCACCAGACTGATCCCTGACACAGAGCCAGGAATAAGCCCTGAGCACCACCGGGTGTAACACTCCCCCCCCCAAAAAAAAGTAAAATAATAGTAGCTTTCAGAGAGGCAGCATGAACCAGGCATAGCTGGGGCTCTCAGCCCCTGGGCCCAGCCCACCTGCCCGAGAGCCTGCCCACCTGTCCCAGAGTACACTCCATGCTCCCCAGGAAGTCATCATCCACACAGCCCGGGGTGCCAGCCCCGTGGGTGTCGTACACCTCAAAGCGCAGCCTCTGCACCTCCTCGAAGAAATAGTCCAGCGTAAAGGCCTTGGAGAAGACGGGGTGCAGGCAGCTCCGGACGACCTCCGTTCTGTCCACCTGTGAGCAGCCAGGGCGAGGACATGTCGGGTCTCAGTGCCCCTCTGTCCAGCGGGTCCCCTTCCCCAGCAGGGGCGGTATCTGTCTGCCCTTGTGCCCCATCACTACACTGCTTCAGGACATCACAGATGGGGCTGCGGTGGGCTCAGGGACCCTGCAGGGGGCACCCACGGTTGGCGTTTCTCCCAGCACCATGGGGTCAGCACCCCCTTTGATGCAGCACATGCCAGCGGGTGGGTATCACACAAACGCCCGCACCCCGGAGGAACCTTGCCCCCGGACCGCCTGAGGACGCCGTTGTGGCCCCTGGTCAGCCCAGGAGTCCCTCAAGGCCCTCCCCCCAGGCCCTCCCACCTGCCAGGGGTGCTGGGTGGCAGGGACCCCAACGAAGGACAGCTCCTCCAGCTGCAGCCCTGCCTCTCCCTTTGTGCAGACCCCGCTGTCACGCTGACCGGCAGGGGCGGGGGTCGCGCCACAAGCTTGGCCCCGCCTGCCTACCACACACACACACACACACACACACACACACACACACACACACACACACACGGGCCGGCTCGGCTCTGATGGGCACAGGGCGCTGCCGAACCTCAGGACCTGGCAGAGGCCCTGGGGGTCACTAAGCCGCGGGGCGGCGGGGTCCGGGTCCCCCGGCGCGGCCCCCTCACCTGCATCCCTCGGGACCCCCGCGCCCCGCGCCCACCTGCGCCCACTGGCTCTGGCCGTGCAGCAGCAGCACCACGCTGGGGTCCGACTTGGTGAGCGGGTCGCGGTCCAGCAGGTGCCGGCAGCTCAGCCGCAGCTCCACCCTGGAGGCGCGGGGCGCGGGCACCCCCGGGGGCACCCCCGCACCCCGCGCCGCGCTGGCGCTCATGCTGGGCGCTGCGGACCCACCGGCCGGCGCCGCCCGGGAGTGACGGCCGCACGCGTGGCCGCTCCCCGCACGCCCGCGGGAGGGGCCACACGTGGGGGGGCGGGGCGGGGGCGGGGCCTGGTCGGGCCGGGGCCGGGGCGGGGCCTCACGTGGCGGGGCGGGGCCACGCGTGGCTCGGGGCGGGGCTGGAGGCGGGGCGGGGCCACACGTGCTCCGGGCGCGGGGCTTGAGGGGCGGGGGCGGGGCTGGAGGCGGGGACGGGGCGGGAACACACGTGACTCGGGGCGGGGCGGGGCGGGGCGGGGCTGGAGGCGGAGGGGCGGGGCGGGAACACGCGGGGCAGGGGATAGAGGGGGAGACCCCAGGAGGGTGCCAACCGAGGAGGGGGCAGGCGGCAGAAGGGGGCACAGCGAAGGAGGGACAGCGGAGGGGGGACACAGCTGGGGGGGACTAGGCCCTGGAGGACCCAGCTGGGACGGGGTCTGAGGAAACAGTGGCAGGTTCCGGTCAGAGGCTCTCAGGTGCCTCTGAGATGGGTTTGGGGACACACCACACCTGGCGGTGCTCAGGGATCACTCCCGGCGGGGGTCACAGGGATCATTCACGGCGGACTCTGAGATCACTCCCTAGAGAGCCTCAGGGATCACTCCCTGGAAGGGCTCAGGGAATACTTCCTAGAGGGGCTCAGGGATCACTCCCTAGAGGGGCTCAGGGATCACTCCCTAGAGGAGTTCAGGGATCACTCCCTAGAGGGGCTCAGGGATCAATCCCGGAGGGGCTCAGGGATCACTCCCTAGAGAGGCTCAGGGATCACTCCCTAGAGGGGCTCAGGGATCACTCCTGGCTGGGCTCAGGGATCACTTCCTAGAGGGGCTCAAGGATCACTCCCTAGAGAGGCTCAGGGATCACTCCCGACGGGGCTCAGGGATCACTCCCTAGAGAGGCTCAGGGATCACTCCCTAGAGGGGCTCAGGGATCACTCCTGGCTGGGCTCAGGGATCACTTCCTAGAGGGGCTCAAGGATCACTCCCTAGAGAGGCTCAGGGATCACTCCCGACGGGGCTCAGGGATCACTCCCAGCAGGGTTCTGGGATCACTCCCTAGAGAGGCTCGGGGATCACTCCCGGCGGGGCTCAGGGGAGCGCAGAGGGGCAGTTTCAGCACCGACTTCCTTCTCTCAGCCCCGCCTCCAGGGTCGCGGACCAAGGGCAGCTGGGGGGCCGCAAGCTCCCAGCAGGTCCGACTGGATGCAGGTGCATCCTGCACCTCTGGCCTCTTGGCTGCAAAGGGCAGCAGGCGCGGGGGCCGCAGCCCGCCTGAACCATCTGCTCCAGTCGAATCAGTCGAGTCGCTGGTGGGAGGCAAAACGACCTCCTTGCTGATTTCTGCCTAAAACGGGCGCTGACCGGCTGGAGGGTCCAGCAGGTGAGGCGCGCGATCGGGCGAGTGCCCCCTGCCGGCCAGATGCACACCTGCCGGGCAGCAAGTGCGGGCCCAGGGTCAGGGCCGAGGACAGCGACCCCCAGCCCCCAGGAGCTGGGGCCTGGCTCAGGGCTCTGGGGTGCCCGGGAGTGCCAGCATGAAGCTCCCTCCTCGGGCGGCATGAGCAGGAACTCTTCCTGCTGACCCCCGGCTGCCTGGCAGACATCACCCCCTCCGTGCAAATGAGGGAACAGGGGCCTCCGGGGTCCCGGGGGGACACTTCAGCGGCTGGAGCAGCAGGCCCGGGGGTGGGAGGAGGGAGAGGAAGAAGAGAGAAGGGGTAAGGGAAGGTGGAGGGAGAGAGGGAGGGAAGAGGCAAAGCGGGAGCGGAGGGGTGGGGTGAAGGGGAGGTGGGGAGCAGTGAGGGAGTGAGCACAGGAGCCCTGGGCTGGCCTGGGGGTGGGGCTTCCCACGGACCCTCAGTGACCAGCCCCCAAGCAGCAGATGCAGGAAATGAGACTCCTCAGAACATTCTGTTATTGTGAAGAGACGGATGACACATGTTCCTTGTTATTGGAAAGCCAGTCAGCAAGCGTAGATAAAGAACGAACAGGAAAGCACCCGGCGCAGACACCAGCCCTATCCACGTCGGCCCCTTCGGCCCCTTCAGTCGTCCTGACCATCCTGCTTGGTGGGGTGGGGTATGGTCACTGCATCCCTGTGCTGACCGTTTCTTCTCTCCCTACTCTCGCTGCTCCTCGGGGCTCCATGCTCCGGGTGCCCTCTGTGCTGGGTCCTTAGGCTCAGGGCCTGGGGAGCAGCAAAGCCCCGGCGCTGGCTTGCAGTTGCACCCCCTGGCCAGTGACCGTCTAGGCAGAGGGGGTATTCTGCCCCTAGAGTCCGGCCCAGGGCACAGCTGTGGATGGCCCTGGGGACTGGCTGGCTTTGGCTCAGAGCAGCGTGTGTGCTGTGTGGACACCGTTTGTGAATGTGCTGAGAGGCCCACCTGGTCCTGTGGGCAGCTGTGGACATGGGTCCCTCTGGTCTCTGAGGCTGGCAGAGTCCCTTCTCATTATGCTGCCTATCAGGGTTGCACACAGACCACCATGGCCAGCCTCAGGTCCCCCAGCCCACAGCCAAGTGACAGGGTTCCTTCTCTTTGGCAAGATGAACACAGCCTGCCAGGAACTGCAAGGAATCCAGTCACGGGGCTGGAGCACAGCAGGGAGGGCACTTGCCCGGCAGGCAGCTGACCAGGGTCCAATCCCTGGCATCCCATGTAGTTCCCTGAGCCCATCAGGAGTGATCCTGAGTGCAGAGCCAGGAGTAACCCCCAAGCACTGCTGGTTGTGGCCCAAAGACAACAAATTAAGAAGGAAGGCGGAGTCAGGCTGCGGTGCAGAGATGAAGCTCTTTTAGGAAGAGGCAGGGGAGGGGAGGTGCTCGTGGTTATAAAGGGCACCTGGAGGCCTGGAGCAGCATTTATGACAGTGCTCCTCTGAGAACCACTGGGCTGGGAGAATGCTCATTGGCTGCGGTGACCAAATTCCAGAAGTTGCCCTGCTCTCTCAAACTCCAGGGTCCTCTGCTTGCTGGACACAGCCCTGAGGGTCCCAACTTAGGAGCCACAGATAAAGACAAGAGACTGTCAGATGAAGGCAGACCAGGGGCTGGAGTAATAGCACAGTGGGTAGGGTGTTTGCCTTGCATGCAGCCAACCTGGGTTCAATCCCCAGCATCCCATATGGCCCCCTGAGTACCACCAAGAGTGATTCCTGAGTGCACCAGCCAGGAGTAACCCGTGAGCATCACCAAATGTGACCCAAAATGTTAAAAAAAAAAAAAAAAAAGCCAATCTGTGATTGCTAAGATTTTAACCTATGTAAATAAGTAAAACCCTTCAATACAATACAGCAAAATGATTATTCTCACGTAAGGTTTTTTTTTGCTTTTTGGGTCACACCTGGCGATGCACAGGAATCAGCCCTGGCAGTGTTCAGGGAATCATATGGGATGCTGGGAATCAAACTCGGGTTGGCCACGTGCATGGCAAACACCCTACCCGCTGTGCAAGTGAGCTTTTAACTCTGGAATCTAAAATATATTGCATTAAATTTTGTTTTCTAGGAGCTGGAGCAATAGCACAGCAGGCAGGGCGTTTGCCTTGCACGCAGCCAACCTGGGTTTGATTCCAGCATCCCATATGCTCCCCTGAACACTGCCAGGGGTGATTCCTGGGTGCAGAGCTCTGTGCATCGCTGGGTGTGACCCAAAAAGAAAACAAAAACAAAACATGAAAGCAGGCAGACAAGGCAGAGAGGAAGAAAGACAAGACAGACTGAGACAGAGGGACCAGCCTCTCCTGTCTGCTGCCCGCTTGCTCTGCCCAGTCAGGCGGTGGGTGGGGCTGCCCCATCCCTGTCTGTCCTGCTCCCCAGTGCAGCAGACAGCGCCAGCTTTGATGATATTCTGGGCATCTTCCATCCTGGCCCAGTTCTCTCCCTCTGAGCAGCTCCATGCTGAGGGCTGAAGGGCAGGGGTAGGCGCCCAGCAAGGAAGGAGACCTTGGCTTGCCTGCTGGGTCTGTGGGTCTTCCAGGAGGGGTATCAGGGACTCTGCAGCCAGTGCTCAACATGGTAGGTGCTTGGGTCTGGGGACCAGCCTGTCCTCAGTCCTGAGGTGAGCCCAGGGAGGAATGTGGAAGGCTTCTCGGCACATGCAGTTGATGTTTCTTCGGTCCCACTTAGCAATATGCTGTATGTGGCACCATACCCATCACTTCCTTGTGGAGCGGTGCCAGGACTGCACCCACACACTCAGGCCCAGCATCAGGAGTCCTCCCTACACTGTTTCGAGTACGTACTTGGGCTGGAGTGATAGCACAGCAGGCAGGGCGTTTGCTTTGCACGTGGCCGAACCGGGTTCGATTACCAGCATCCCATACGGTCCCCTGAGCACCACCAGGAGTAACTCCTGAGTGCAGAGCCAGGAGTAAGCCCTGTGCCTTGCGGGGTGTAACCCAAAAAAGCAAAAAAAAAAAAAAAAGCACATACTCTATTTAAGGGGGTGGGGTTAGCAGAGACAGCAGTTACATGGGGCCAACCCTAGACCGCGGCTCTGGCCCCCAAGCAACACCAGGGGGATCCCTAAGTGCAGAGCCAGGAGTAACTGTCAAGCATTGCCACGTGTGGCCCAAAACCCAAGCACCAAGTTTTAGAAAAGCGGAAAGCAACAACAGGGTAGGGGGTATTTGTCTTGCACACAGCTGATCTGGGTTTGATCCCTGGCCTCCAGGAATGATCGCCAAGGAGTGACCCAAGACCAATTAAAGCTGTCCCTGAACCGTCATACTTCATCCTCCCTCCAACAATTCCCACGACTCTATAATAAAGCGCGAAACTCAGCCAACAGAAACCCGACAAGGCATGTTTTGGGCTGGAGGTCCAGCGGCTTAGGTGCCGGCCTTACCTGAGGCTGTCCCTGAGCAGGCCGGGCACAGGGCTTGAAGGGTGTTGTGGATCCTGCCCTACCACAAGATCTCTCCACCCGAGGGGGCCCCGTTTGGGAAATGTTCCCACCAGGGATTGAGGCAGAGGCTGTGCTGGTGTGCACACACCCGGCAGGCTGGGCCCTTCCTGGCGTGAGCTCACCCTGGCCCCCAGGCAGCACTGTGGCCTCCCCTGCCCAGGTACTCCGCGTGTGAAGGTGTGACCCAGTAGCCCTTACGCAGGCCCCACACCGAGGGAGACGGGCGTGGTCCCTGCATCCGAGTGCTAGAGGAACAGGCAGGCCACCCCGGAGAGGCTCCTCTGGGGAGCAGGAGGAGCCCCCGAGGCGGGAAGCAGTGAGGCCGACCCCCGCCCACACAGCACCGTCTCCCGCGCCAGCAAGCGACCAAATAAAGCTCGTGCACAGGGCCCGGGTCCAAACAGGGACTTTTATTTCTTCTTCTCGACATCCTGCTCGGCAGCTTCCTTGGCCCTTTTCGCCCGGATGCCGAAGAGCCGGGCGTTGGCCCGGGCCATGCGGAGGCTGGCGAAGGCCTTGAACTTCTTCTCCTCCTCCGTGATGACCCTGGCCTTCTCCTTCTTGTAGACCTGCGCGGGCGGGGGGAGTCGCGTGAGCCGGGGACGCTCCCGGCCCGAGGGGCGCCCGCAGCCCCGGCCCGGGCACCTACGTTGCGAATGGGCATGACGGGCCCGGTCAGCTGCGTGGCCAGCTTCAGCTCCTCGGCCGAGCTGTCGCCCTTCTTGGGGGCGGCGGGCCGGCGCGGGAAGAGGATGAGCTTGGAGCGGTACTCCTTGAGCCGCTGCACGTTGGCCTGCAGGGACTCGGTGGACTTGTTGCGGCGCCGCGGGTCCACGGCGATGCCCAGCGTGCGCGCCACCTTCTTGTGGATGCCGGCCACCTGCGGGGCGCGCGGGCGGGGCGGGTGAGCGGGCGGGCGGGCGGGCGGCGCGCGCGGGCGCGGGGTCGCCGGCCGGCGGGCCGTCAGCGGGAAGGGTTCGAGCTGCTTTCAGCACGGCGCTCAGCGATTCCGGAGACGCTCATCACGCGGCCGCCGCCCCCCCCCGCCCGCCCGCCCCGGCCCGCGTCGCCCGCACTCACCCGCAGCTCCTCCAGGCTGAAGCCGCGGCCGGCGCGCACCTTGGTGTGGTAGCGCACCGTGGGGCAGCGCACGACGGGCCGCACCGGGCCGGCCGCGGGCCGCGGGGCCAGGCGCCGCGCCTTGGCCTGGCGCGCCTTGCGCCTGCGGACCTTGCGCGCCGGCTGGTTGAACCACGTGGCCACGCGCCGCTGCCAGTCCTTGTGGAAGTGCGGCTTGAGGATCATGCCATTGCGGCTGGGCGCCATGGCGGCGGCGGCGGCGGGGGCCTGCGCGGCGGGACGGGCGGACAGTCAGCGCCCGCCGCGCCCTCGGGGCCGGCGGCGGGCGGCGGCGGGGCGCGGGGCGCGGGCGCGGGGGCGCGGGGAGCGGGCGCGGAGGCGCGGGGGCGGCGGGCGGACGCGGGGGGACTCGGATGGACGCGGATGGCGCCGGCGCCCGCACTCACCTGCGCGCGGGCGGAAAGGCCGGCCGAGAGCTGCCGCGGCCGCGAGGCACCCGGGAGGCGGCGCGCCCGGCCAATCAGGAGCGCCGCGCGCGCCGGCCAATGGGCGCCGCGCCCGGCGGAAGTGACGTCCGCTCCCGGCGGGCCCCGCGCGGGCCGACCTGGCGGCGCGCCCGCCGCCGCCGCCGCGCGACGTGGCGCTGCCCGCGGCCTCCTGCGCCCGTCCCCGCGCGCCGGAAGCCCGACGTCGTCTCGCGCGAGCGAGAGCCTCGGCCGCAGGCCCCGGCGCGACCCCCTGGGGAGGCCGGCCGGGCGCGGGACGTGCGTGCCCCGCGCGCACCCGCCCTGGCCCCCGACCCCGGCCGCGTCGCGGGGGGGCGGGCGGGTGCGGATTCGAGACTGGCACGTCAGGGCTCCGCCCGTCGACGTTCTGCGCTTTCCGAGCCACGCCGGGGTTGTTGGTGGACGCGTCCGCTCTCGGACACGTGCTGGGGGCCTTGGCCTGCACGCGGCCGACCCCCGGGCTCGACCCCAGCACCCCGTAGCGCCCCCGGCACCGCCGCGAGGGGCTCCCGTGGGGCCGGGTGCTCCCCCGACCTTTGACTGACCTCACCGGGACCCCCAGCGCCCGTGGACGCCGAGCGCCTCTCTTCCCCCAAGGCCTGTGTCCGAGACCTCCGCACCCGCAGGGCAGAGACGCCCCTGAGCGGTGTCAGACTCTGCTGTGCCCGCGCGCCCCGGCCGCCTTGGCGGAGGGGCAGAGGCAACTGCCAGAGAAGTGTCGCTCCTCCTCAAGACCCCCACGGGGGGCTGGCAGCTGCCTGGAGGCACACTTAGACGTCAGTGTGCCCGGGCGTTGGGTGGCAGAGGGTGACCCCCGTGGAGCAGGCAGTGAAGGGAAGGCACCCGAGTGTCCTGCCCCCTTGTCCCACTGAGACTGGCAAGTGAGCTGTCAGAGCGTTGAGGGCAGGGGCTCTAGAAGGGGTCGGGCCAGGGAGGGGCCGGAGGATAGAGCAGGTCTAGTAGTGGCCGACTCAGTTCGATCCCTGGCATCCCCTGTGGCCCTCCAAGCTCCGCCAGGAGCAACCCCTGAGCATTGCTGGGTGTGACCCAAGAGGCAAAGAAATAAGACCAGGGCAGGGCTTATGGAAGGGACTGGACACATCCACATCAGCACAGCATAGACGCCCTGTGTCCCCAAGTCCCATGCTCACCTCAGGCAAGGATCTGAGGTCAGGTACAGAGGAGAGGCCCTCCTCGCCCACCCAGCCAGCGTGCCCCACCCACTAGTGTGTCCCAGGTCTCCTGAGTGGGAGCTGCCACATGGACCGGGTCGGCCCACAAAATGGTGCTGGAGCCAGAGCGATAGTACAGCAGGAGCGATACCAAGTACACACACACATGCACACACACGCACGCACACACACACACACAGTAAATGCAGCTCTGAGGCCATGAGGCCAGCAGCCAGACGAGGCAGCAGCAGGGAGGGACAGGCCTAAGGCCCAGGCTCAGCAGAAGGAGGGGGTCTACGGCAGGACCATCAGCCACTATACATCCTTCATCCAGACTTTATTTGAAAGGCTCACGCGGGCCCCCCAGAACTGTCCCTGAACTGTCCCGCCTAGGCCGCAGAGCGGCACAGTGCATGAGGCAGCCACACAAGAGTAGGTGCTAGACCCGGATCTGGGGCCCAGCCTGACGCGTGCATCTGAGGACGGCCCAGCTCAAGCAGGCTGGGGGCTCTGAGGTCCCTTCCCTGAGGTCCTGTGAGCAGCACCTCCGTCGCAGGCAGTGAGGCTGAGTATCACGGGGGTCCACTGTGGGGACCGTGGCGGCTCTCCCCCTCATCCCCGGCATCCTGCCTGTCCCTCTCGGCATCGAGCCAGCGCTGCGGCATGATCATCTTCTTGGGGCCGTGGGGAGGCGGGCCGACGAGGGCCTCAATGTCCTCGTAGTTGATGACTTCCTTCTCCAGCAGGGCGCTTGCCAGCTAGAACAGGCAGGCAGTGTGAGCACAGACAAAGCCCGGACAAGAGCGCTTTGAGGGTGGGGAGGGGGGGCCGGCAGTGCACGCCAGAGCCCTCTGCCCATCTGGGTGGTCCAGCCCAGCTGCCGCAGGGAACTTCCCTCCCGCCCTTCCACATCGCTCCTTATTGGGGGGCGACATCCATTTCCTGTGTGGGGGGAGGCTGGGCCCTAGACAGCTCCCTGGAAACTGGAGAGATGGGGAGCTGGCCGTGAGGTTTAAAACTTGGGCTTCACGGTCTGGAAGGAAGGTGGTGTCTTTCCTGCGCTGAATGTCTGGAGCCACGAGTGATGGAACTGGGGGCCACCCGCCCACTAGGAGGGTCCACACCGGCCTCACCGCCTGCAGCTTGTCCAGGTTGTCCTGCAGCACCTGCTCCGTGTGTCTGTAGGCCTGGGCCACCAGCAGCCTGGCTTCCTGACGGTGGAGAGAAGAGACGGTCATGGCTGCCAGACAGACTCCGAGGAGGGCATGTTCCCTGGGTCCCGGGATGGGCAGGGGCTGCGCACTCACGTGGTCCATCATCTGCTGCAGGCCCTGGCTGAAGGGGCGTCGCCCGATGCCCGCCACAGCCTCCTGCGCGTCAGGGAAGGACACGGGCCCAATGCTCGGCGCCATCCCAAACTGCCGTACCATGGAGTAGGCGATGCGGGTGACCCTCCTGAGGTCATCCTGAGCCCCTGGGCATGAGGGCAAGGACAGGCTGCTTTGTAGGGCTCAGGCCCCTCGCCCAGGACTCCTCTTTCTTCCACATGGGCCCTGAAGATGCCTGGTGCCAGCGTGGTCACTACTTCTGTCCTGCTCCCCAGAAACTGACCCTAAGTGTACTCCTTTGTTCACGACAGTGACTCCCCAGTGCTGGCCAACAAAGGAAGGTGCTTCGTCCTGGTTAGCGGCAGGCCAGCCCCTCTGCGGCCTTGGTCTGTGCAGGAGACCAGGGAGGAGGTGCCACATGGTCCCTCAAGCATCGATGACCATTGTGACCTCTGAGCTCCCAGTCGGGAGACCCTGAGCACTGCCGGGTGTGGCCCCAAGCCAAAATAAATCACTAAGTTTTGGTTTTTGGGCTGCACCCAAAACCAAAATTAATTTTGTGTTTTGGGCCACACCCGTAGTCCTCAGGAGTTACTCCTGGCGGGCTTGGGGGATCAAACCTGGGTTGGCCATGTGCAAGGCCAAATGCCTTACCCACTGTATTACCTCTCCAGCCCCTAAATCTTAAATAAAAGGAAAGAGTGAGCCGGAGTAACAGCACAGAGAGCAGGGCATTTGCCTTGCACGCGGCCAACCTGGGTTCCATCCCCAGCACCCCATCTGGTCCCCAGAGCCCACCAGGAGTGATCCCAGAGCAGAGTCAGCTCGGAGCCTCACCAGGTGTGGCACAAAACGCACCCCACCAAAAACAAGCATGCTGGCAAGCAGGCAGGGGTGGGAGCACAGCGAGTCCACCCAGGATGCTCACCAGAGGTGACCTTGTTGAAGGAGATGGCTTCAGCCGCGCGGCCACCCAGCGCCATGCACATGCGCTCAAACAGCTGCTCCTTGGTGAAGAGGTGCTGGTCCCGGGGCAGCATCTGAGTGAAGCCCAGCGCAGCGTTGGTGCGCGGCGCAATGGAGACCTGCAGGTGGGCCGTGGTGAGCCAGAGTTGGGGGCACAGAGCAGAGACCCCCGACGGGCCCGAGGAGGCGCTGGCCCCCCAGAGGCACCTGAAGAAACTCTTGAGCCTGACAGACAAGGAAAGTGCCGCCGGCCACCACCACCCCTCACCTTTGTCACTGCCTCCGTGTGCTCCAGCAGCCAGCCCACCAGCGCGTGGCCCGATTCGTGGAATGCCACCACCTTTTGCTCCTCCTTGGACAGGATCTGGCTCTTCTTGGCGGAGCCTGAGTGAAGCGCAGAGGCAGAGCTCACATCGCCCTTTTCTCACACAGGGAGCCCGGCTGTGAAGCCACAAGCGCCAGGTGGGGCCCTGCACACCGCCACACACGCCTCCTGCTCCCTGGGGCAGATCTGTAGCAGTTCAGTTCTTACACACACACACACACACACACACACACACACACACACACTCTCTCTCTCTCTCTCTCTCTCTCTCTCTCTCTCTCTCTCTCTCTCTCTCGGATACTCTGTGCTGTGACTCCCCCCTCCCCCACCCTCGGCCCCAGATCCACCCTCCGCTGAGTGGACAGGCGCTTTGACGACATGGGGCCATGGAAGCTTCCAGGCACCCAAGGATAGTTTCGAAAGCCCACAGACGCCTCTGAGCAGTGCTCATCGGTCCCCAGCTCAAGGAGCTTCAGCCCAGGCTGCACTGGAGAGGAGCGTCGTGTACTCCTTGGCCCTCCTAGGACCAGTCTGTCGGGGCTCCGTGGGGACACTGCAGGCTCTGCCCCACCTGTGAGGGACTCTGCCCGTCTAGGGGGCTCTGCGGGCTGCACTGGGGGGCCGAAGGTGCTTTTGCTTCTGTTGGACTTGTGTCTGCTTTACCCCTGGGGCTCTGCAGGCGCCGCCAACACTGTCCCTGTTCCTCTCACGTCTGCCTCTGCACAGGACTGCCCCAGCCTGCTCCCTCCACCCCACCTTCTCTAGGGCCCCGTACCAGCAATGACTCGCTCCACGGCGTACTCGAAGTTGGAGGTGTGTACAGCCGAGTGTCCCTCCCGTGCGGCATGCAGGGCTGCTTCATTGCAGATGTTGGCGATGTCCGCACCTGTCACGGGCGGCCCGTGTTCTCAGCAGGGACGAGGACCGGGGGTGGCCTGTGTCCTCAACAGAGACAGGGACCCAGGGTGGCCCATGCTGTCAGCACAGGACAGGGACCCGGGGTGGCCTGTGTCCTCAGCAGGGACGGGGCCCCAGGGTGGCCTGTGTCCTCAGCATAGGACGGGGACCTGTGGTGGCCTGTGTCTCAGCAGGGACAGGGACCCAGGGTGGCCTGTTTCCTAGCAGGGACGGGGACCCAGGGTGGTCTGTGTCCTCAGCACTGGGAGAGGGGCACGTGCAGAAACGTGCAGGTGGCTTATGTCTCAGCCTGAGACCACATCACAGCCACCAGACCAAGGACCTTGCGGTGCTGTCACCCTGCCTTGGTCAGTGTCCAAGAGGTCTCGGCACCGAGTCTCGGCTCTGTCAGTGCTGTGGCAACAGAAGGTGGCTTAGCAGCCATGAGACTCTTGGCTGGTAACAGAACAGAAGGGAAAGAGGCCCCTAGCAAGAGGGTCTCTGACAGGGATGCGGGGCCTCTGAGGGATGATTCCCCAGGAGGGGCTGGCCCAGGGGGCAGTGCTTGGGGAGCCTCCCGCACCCGCATACCACTGAAGCCGGGCGTCAGCTCCGCCAGGCGCTGTGAGTAGAAGCCGCTGGTGCGAAGCAGCTTCAGGCTCCGCAGGTGCTGCTCAAAGATCTCCCGCCGCTCCTGCAGAGCAGAACTGGGTCAGGGACTCCAGGGCTGGGGACGCAGCGGCAGCTCCTGACCAGCTCTCCCTCCAGCAGCCCCTGACACCTGCACCTTCCAGACCCCAGAGCAGAGGGCTGAAAAGGCAGCACACGGCCATGCTGGGCACAATCCCAGCGCCACGTGACCCAGGAGTACGGTCCGAGACTGTGGGGTGTGGCCCCCGAACGAAAACTAGAGGTCCCGTCCTTGGGCCCGTGAGGCAGTAGCACGTCTCAGCGTGAGTGACGGCGGAGGCTGCCCTGCCACAGCCACCGCGCAGGGCTGGGCAGGCGCCTCCTTGAGCCCCACTAGCGATGGAGCCCCCAGACTCCAACTGGAGGACATGCCACAAGCCCCAGCAGGACAGGCTAAACAAGAAAGCAGTCTCATACTTCCCTCCTCGGCCTGGATTTAGGGATTCTGCTAGAAAAGTCCACCCAACCCCGTCTGGCTGAGCCCAGACGCGCTGGCCAGGGGTCACACCTGCAGTGTGGGGAGGTCGATGAACACGTGCCGGTCCAGGCGGCCTGGCCGCAGCAGCGCATTGTCCAGGATGTCGGCACGGTTGGTGGAGGCCAGCACAATCACGTGGTCCGCAGTGCCCATCCCTGTGGACAGAGCAGGACTCAGGACAGTGTCCCCCCGGGGAGGAGCGGAGCAGGCAGTGTCTGCAGGGAATGGCAAGTGTCTGCCACCCAGCACCAGGTGCCCAGACGACTCCAGAGAGCCCTCCGCGTCCGTGTCTACACCAGCATCCTTGGACTCGAGCCGACCATCCAAGTTCTGGCCAATGCCCTGCACAGCAGGCATGGACACCGAGGGAGTCTACAGCAGTGGCCATAGCACAGCAGGGGGCACCTGCCTTGCATGCAGCCAACCCTGGTCAGATTCTCGGTATCCCATATGGTCGGTCCCCTGAGCACTGCTGGGAGTTCTCCCGAAAAAACAAACCAACAAACATATAAGCAGTGACAAAAAAAAACAAACCTGCATTCAAGTAGAGAACGCAAAGCTTCAGGCACAAGACAGAAGGGCATGACCTCCTGTCGGCCGAGTCTCCCTGCACAACCATGATGTGTGCTGAGCTTGACCCGGGTCAGTGTAGGGGCCACAACCGGGTGACAGAGGCTCACTGACATCTTCAGATGGACAGGAACAACTGATCCCTGCACTAGTCCCACTTACATGTGAGGCACGTCAGCCACACCACAGTCACACACCGCTGGAGGCTATGCTGACCAGACATCTGAACCATGGCTGTGTCTGTGGTCACCCAGAAGGGCCTTTTCTAATGAACCCAGGTACTCCCTAACTTGGAAGCTGGCAGAGATCCACGCGTGGGGAGGAAACCAACCACCAAGTGTCCCCCGTGGGCTTGGTGGTCATGCAGGCTGCCCCAGCTGATCGGGAGGAAGGGTCCTGTCCTCCCTCTGATACCCGGTGAATGAAGCGGCCCCTCAGGCAGAACAAGGGTCCTTCAGACCCGCGGCAGGCTGCGGCGCAGCTGTGTGGACACACAAAGGCCCAGTGTGCCGGGCCGGCCCCAGGCAGCCCGTGCGGAAGTGGCCTGGAGCACACAGGAGCGTGGCTGCCACTGGCCTGCTCAGGAAGTGGCACTGCAGGAGCGTGCCAACGTGTCCGCAGATCCGAGCTGCCGGGAGTCAGCCGGGGGGCGCCCAGCAGCCTGTCCAGGCACTAGGCAACCAGAGCTGGCGAGAGACCACAGGTGTCAGGGAAGCAGGAACAGAGCCTGCTGGGGTTGGCCCATGTGGACCCCAGCACCACCTTGGCCCCCTCTCCTCTCCTGACAAGAGGGCACGCAGCAGGCACGTCAGCACACTGCTCTGAGCACGGGGGCGGGGCCAGATGACCTCACTGCCCCCGCCACTCAGACCCCTGCCTCCCCTTGCCACCGCCGCCCCGATGGTCTTCCTTCTGCTCCTTGGTCTGCTTTTGCTTTGGGGCCACTCTCAGCTCTGTGCTCAGGGTCACTCCTGACCGGGCTTGGGGCCTGAGCACGTCCCAGCTCACTGCCGCACGTATCCCTCAAGCTGAGTCGTGAGAACAACGAGAAGACAGCTCGTTCTGCAGGGCAATGCTGCTCCCAGCCGTTACCTAAAACGGCCCCCAGCTGCACAGGAGCAAAGGGAGTGGGCAGCCCAGCCCCGGCAGGTGGCCACTCACTGACCGTCCATCTCCACCAGCAGCTGGTTGAGCGTCTGCTCCTCCTCGGTGTTGGAGAAGCCGGACATGGTGGTGGAGCGCTTCTTGCCCACGGCGTCAATCTCGTCAATGTACACGATGCAGGGCGCCCGGGCCCGGGCTTCCTTGAAGAGGCTCCGCACGCGTGCAGCACCGAGGCCTGTGCTTGCCAAAGGGACGGGCAGCTTCAGAGAAACCCCGCTCCCCACGAGCACGCGGGTCCGGGGCACTCCCTGGGCACAGGACCCACAGATACACCCCCAGAGCACGATCCCGGGGATCCGGGACACTGTGACCTCTCCGGGGCGGGCGTGTGTGACGCAGCCATCAGCAACACCCAGGCCACCCACCTCCAATGACCTCCACGAACTCGGGGCCAGCCATCGCCAGGAAGGGCACTTGGGCTTCTGTGGCCACCGCCTTGGCCAGCAGCGTCTTCCCACAGCCAGGGGGGCCGAGCAGCAGCGCCCCCTTGGGGACCTTGGCGCCGAGCTGCAGGAAGCGGTCGGGACTCTGAAGAAAGACGGGGCGCAGAACACGGGCTGGCTAGGCTCTGGCAGAAGCCACAGCCGAGGGGGAGCCCGCCCCGGCACGCAGCACCCACCGCACCTTCAGGTAGTCCACAAACTCTTTGACTTCCAGTTTGGCTTCATGCATTCCTGCCACGTCTTTGAAGCTGACCCCTTTCCCCGACTTGCCATCAACGATGGTGAAACGGGCCATTTTGAGCTGGTTCTGGGCAGGGCAGACAGGGCACAGGGGGTGAGTGCGCCCCTGCCCACATGCCTGGACAGCCACTGGCACACACAGAAGAGGCTCTCATCACACCTCTGGTCACGAGCAAGCGGCCTGTCCCCTAGTAAGCCCCTGGGGCCAGAGGACTGGTGACCCTGCCAGTCTCAGTTGGGGCCCTGGCACCATATACGACCTCGAGCATCAGCAGGGTCACCCCTGAGCAGACTCAGGACAAGTCCCTGAGCACTGCTGGGTGAGGCCCAAATACCACCCCCAGAAGCCCAACTCCTGGTGGTAGAACAGCCTCTCCTGGATTCCATCCCTGGCCCCACAATGAAAAAATTTAAAGAAAATTTTCCCCACACACTGGGTAACTAATTTGGTCTTTTTTTTTTTTTCTGGACCATACCTGGCTGTGCTCAGGGATCACTCCTGGCAGGCTCAGGGGATCATATGTGGTGCCAGGTTAGCCAAATGCAAGGTAAGTACCCTATCTGTTGTACCATTGCTCTGGCCCGCATCCTAGGTGTTTTTTTTTTTGCTTTTTGCTTTTTAGGTCACACCTGGCAATGCACAAGGGTTACTCCTGGCGGTGCTCAGGGGACCGTATGGGATGCTGGGAATTGAACCCGGGTCGGCCGCGTGTAAGGCAAGCGCCCTACCAGCTGTGCTATCGCTAAAACCCTCTAGGTTTTTCAGATCTTGTGAAAATCAGTGTTGTCTATGTGCTTCCTACTGTGATGCTCTTTTTGCTCCTGTTGCCCAGAGAGCTCTCTAGTGGGAGACAGCTCTGGGGTGGGAGAGCATTTGTAAAGTGAATTGGTTTTTTCAAAAAGATTTCTTGGCCTCTTTCCTGAGAGGGGAAACTGAAGTGCAATGACACCCAGTTGCTATGGACACAGCAGCACAAAGGTCCTGTCAGGGCGCAGGCACTTCCCCATGAAGGCCATGTGGGTCCCACCACTCACAAAAGCACCGAATCCTCCTTCCCGTCCTGTCATTCCAGTCAGACGGAAAATGTACCACAGGATGGCCAGGCCCACGGCGGTCATTCCCACGGCGTACAGTGCACTGCAGGGGGAGAGGGAACTCAGCAGGCAAGTGACTGGAATGTACCTAGTTTCTTGGAGTCCAGTAGGGACTAATGGACTCTTCCTCCAGTGCTTCCGCAGTCATCTGGAGACAATGACCAAAGCACCATATCCGGGAAACCCGACCACACAGCCAAGCAGCAGGTTCCCTGAGGCAGCCAAGTGAGACATCACAGCACCCATGCAGGGCACTGCCTGCATAGCTGTCACATGCACCAGTCACCACACACCGTGACACACATCAGCCACGTACACGTTGTCACACAGTCACGCACACACTTGATACACATCAGTCATGCACAAGTTGTGACATGCATCAGTCACGAACATGGTCACACTCCTCAGTCACCCACACGGTGTGACACACATCACAGTATGCATATGCTGTCACACACGCCAACAGTCACCCACACTGTTGCAGAGCCTCACACATGCCGTCACACACGCACATGTAGTCACACATGCTCTCCTGCAAGCACACACGTTATCAAGCATACGCACGGACCCCATTCCCCTGAGGCAGCCCAAGGGCCCCTGCTACCACGTGCTACACAGGAAATTAGTGACAGCCCAAAGGCCCCACTTGAGCCCTGCCATGGCCACCAGCAGTGGCTGTGGGTGTCTCCCGAGGGTGACCACATACTTCCCAAAGAAGCCCGTGCGCTTGTAGGTCACGGGGATCCGGTCTCTGCCTTCGATGTTCAGCTCATCCTCAGCGGCTCGAAGCTTCTCTTCAAATTTGTCAATGTTTGCCACCTGCATCCGGTACGTCAGGGCCAGGCGCTGGGTGCAGTGAGCAGAGGCGTCACGAACACCCCAGGGCAGAGGCGGCAGCTCTTCCTGGCCGCCGCCCAGACATGGTGCTCTGTCCCCGCCAGGCAGTCACGCACACACTGTGATACACACCACGCACATACTCACCGGCCGCCCAAACACCACGGCTCCGGGGTGCAGGTACACCTCCACCACGTCACTCTCGGGCACCACCTGCACGCGCTGGACCTCGCCCTTGGCCAGCATCTCATGGACGAAGTCATTCCAGGAGATGTTGCCCCCGCTGGTGCTCAGGGCGTTGAGCAGGCTCATGACCACCGCGATGACGAAGAGTGTGCGCAGCCGCTCGCGGTACATCTGGTCCTCCCGCTCCCTGCGCCGCCTCCCTTCTGTGGAGGAGGCAAGGCCGCACGTCTCAGTCTGCCCCCCCAAAACAGGAATAAAAGACAAAGGCACAACGGGCAGGTGTCCCCTGCAGCTCCTCAGGCCAGCGGCAGACATACCCTCATCGTCCTCAGGGCCCTTCCCCTTGCCCTTCTCGCCACCCTTGGTCTTCTGCTTCATCCTCGAGGTTCTGAAGTAGTAAGTGCCACCTACAAGAAACCGGGGAGGGCACTTACAGCACAGCCCAGCGATACGGGGCTCAGGGCATGAAAGGGCACCTCGCAGGAGCAGCCCAGCAGGTGAGCGAACTCTCCAGCCATCATGAGGGAATGTCTGCGGGGAGGGAGCACTGCTGGGAGAGCCGGGCAGCACTCTGGGGCAGTGTTCCGCCTCACACGTGAGGCCCATGGCTGAGTCCCTGCAGCCCACGCAGCAGAAGATGCACATACACTGTGAACTGTGTCCTGGCACAGGGACCTGCCTCATGGCCCTGGACGGGCTCCAGAACATGCTGCCTGCCCCCTCCCGCCACCCCACATGCCGTGAGTCGCCGGAGCTGCCCCCTGGACACGATAGTCTCAACAAACAGCACAGGGAGGAGGGCACTGGTGCGCTGTCCTGAAGTCTCTGCCCAGAGGCTGGAGGAACAGACATCCCTGAACTGAATTCCCACCAGGAAGCAAGTTCTCTGTGCTGTTTCCAGAACCCGCTGGTGTGTCACACACACAGTCCCTCAGGATGGGTTTTGGTGGAGAGCCTCACACAGTGCCTGCGGGGATGGAGGGCCACTCCAAGCCCTCGGCTAGATGGGGGCAGCCCTGCTCAGGGGGTCACCAGGCGCTGGAACCAAACCAGAGTCAATGAGTCAAGCCCTGGGCGGCCAACCCAGGCCCACACAGTCCCCTCACAGCCACAGTATCCCTCAGTTCCCCAAAGTCCCCTTCATAGGCCCCACAGAGTCCTCATGGTCTCCTCGTCCCCTTCCTGTCCCCCCACAGACCCTGCCCAGTTCCCATGCACACGCTCACTGCAGCTCAGGGGCAGCTGAAAAATACAGCGGATGTATTCCAAGCAGCCAATTACTGCTCCAGACCAGATTCCTTTCCTCTGGTGCTAGGGATATGACCCAGAGCCTCATAAACACAAAACGTGTGCTCAACTGCTCGGTTACAGCCATGGACCTGAACAACAATTTTAAGATAATTATTAAAGTAATCGGGCTGGAGAGAAAGCACAGCGGGTAGTGCTCTTGCCTTGCACGCGGCCGACCCGGGTTCGATTCCCAGCATCCCATATGGTCCCTGAGCATCGCCAGGTGTGACCTTCCCCCACAGGCCCCCATGCCTCTCCACTCCCCAAAATAGAATGGCCGTGCAGACTGGTCATCGTCCCTCACATAAAGGGAGCACTAAAGCAATTTTGTATTTCTGCCCAGGTGAAAAAAGCAGTATTCTGATACACTGACAAAGGCTCAAAGGGCTGGTCCATCGTTCACCAGCAGGCACACACCTAAAAGTTTCCATAGTTGCACTGGATTCCGGATCAGATGCTGTTTCAACAACCATGCGAGGGTGCCCTCAAAGGTAGGGGTTAGCGATCGTAGCTGGAGGCTCTGGAAAAAGAAAGGAAAAAAGAAAGAACACAGGGTCAGAGTGACAGGACAGAGACACAGCTGACCCAGGCTCCAGAGCCCCACTGGGAGAGATCCATCCCTGAGCACTGAACCAGGAGTAAGCCCTGAGCACTCCTGGGTGGGTGTGGCCAACCAACAAAGAATGCAGAAGGTCGGCTAGTTCCAGCCCCACAGCACAGCAGCCAGAATGACACCCGGAGACATAGCTACGGCCGAGCGTTCTTGCAAACTTGTTTTTGTTCAAAGGACCAGGGAGATGGTTCAATGCAGAGGCCCATGTTGGGTGCCTGTCTCCACGTGGTCTCTGGAGATCCCTGAGCACTGATCCAGGAATATCCCCTAACAACTCTGAGCATGACCAACCTCATAAAGTTCTTTTCCCCCGTTGCGGCACCAGGGATCAAATCCAGGGCGTCACACATGCAAGACATGTGCTCTACCACCGAGTCACATCTATGGCCTGAGCATTATTGAAAGGTCGTTTTTGTTTTTTTTAGGTCACAGCCAGTGGTGCTCAGGGCTTACTCCTGGGATCTGTGCTTAGGTACCACACCTGGGAGGGCTCAAGGGACCGAATGTGGTGCTGGGGGTGGATCCAGGGCTGACAGCACGCAAACCGAGTGCCTCTTACCCCCCATACTTTCTCTCTGGCCCTACTGCAGAGTTTTGGCAAACATCAAAAGCAAGTAAGCGGGCCAATGCAACACACGAGTGTTGAGCACTGGTGCCATGATCCCCGGCGCAGGCCCACGGACTCAGGAGACACAAGACTTGACCCATTCCCCCTGGCGGTGGGGTCACCCACGTCACATCCAGAGGGAGAGCAGGACGCCAGCCTCCTCTCCAAAGTCCTGTCATCCTGAGTGTCTGAAGAGTTCCTGCCATCAGGGCCTGCTGTCAGTCTAATTCTCTCTACCCTTGGGCTGGCAATCACTCTTGATTCACTTTTCGTCTCTCTTTGGCTGACTCCTACTTTGCTCTGCCATAGGCAGGGGCGGCCCCTGCCGAGCGCTCTTTGGCAGTAAGTGGGTCACTGCCTTTTCCTGAAGCCGAGAAAGGCGCTTCCTGGCCCGTGCACCCCACGCCCGGGATGGGGGAGCCGGCCCCCCAGGAGTAGGGCCGAGGGCCCTCGGGAGCAGGATCCGCAGGGAATGGGCCCACACCAGCCTCCAGGCTGCTCAGGTGTGAGCTGCCCGCTCCGGCCTCACTTCCAACAGAGCCGGGCCGAAGTCGCGGTTCTCCGTGCAGGCCGGCGCCCGGGCGAGCCCAGGTCCTGCGCGGCAGGGCTGGCGCTCTACACCCAGTGCCTCCCCGTGCCAAGGCAATGCTTCTTCCTCCGCACAACACAAGAATGCAGACACAGACGCCGCACACGTCCGCCCGGGACTCTGCAAAGGGGCCCAGTCGTCTAAGGTGAGGGCTGCAGTCCGGCGTCACCAAGCCAGGTGGCCGGTGGGCGGGCACCCATCTCCGATCTGGCCCACGACGCGAAGTCCGCCCCGGAGACCCCGGGGGTCCGAGTCCGGGGAAAAGGCCGGGGCCTCCGGGGGTCTCCCCGGCGGGCAACGCCGCTGCGGGCCGAGAGGGGCGGCGCGCGGGGCTCCGGGCGCGGGGCCCGGCGTTACCTGCAGGGCTCGGCCTCCGGCCCCAGTAGGACCCAGCGGAGGCCTCGGGGCTGGGGACAGCCACGTCCTCTCGGCCCCGGCGGAGCTGCCCGCACTCCAGCTCCACCGCCGGCGCGGCAGCCTCCCGGGCCCCGCGGCCCGGTGCAGAGCGCGGAGCAGCAGCATCGCGGCCGCCATGTCGGCGCGCGAACTGCGCCTGCGCGCCCGGGGCCTCGGGGCGCCTGCGCAGTCGGGGCCTCGGGGGGCGCCTGCGCGGTCGGCGTCTCGGGGCGCCTGCGCGGTCGCGGCCTCGGGGGGCGCCTGCGCGGTCGGGGCCTCGGGGCGCCTGCGCGGTCCCGGCCGCTCCGAGCCCCTCGCCGCGCTGGGCGTCCGTCTGGGCGTTGGCGTCTTCGCGGGCGCGCCGGCCGCTCGGGTGCCCAGGGCCGGCTCGAGTGCCCTCAGTGCCGTGCGCGGCGCGGCCAGTGGAGCAGCGAGCTCCGCGCCCGGCCGGGATGCCTGCGGGGACCTCGCCCCGGGCGCCGCCGCCGGGCAGCGGGGCGCGAGGCGGGGCCGAGCGGGCGGCGGGCAGGGCGTCCCGTCCGCCGCGGCCTGGCGGGAGCTGGGTGCTGGGTGCTGGCCGCCTGCCCGGGAAGGCGCCTTGGAGGTTGGCCCCTCCAAGGGCTCAGCAGGGGGCTGGACGCGGGTTTCAGGGCAGGTGACAGTCCCCCCTACGGCCTCCGTTCCCCCTGCGGCCACTACCTGCCAGGTCTTCTTGACTCATTTCTGGTGCTCAGGAGTGCGGTCCAGGGGGGACCGTGGGTGGAGGGGAGCAGGAATCCTCCCAGCTCCCGAGAGAGCGGGGCTGCGGGGCTTTGGGGGGCTGCGCGCTCTCAGGTCTGAGCCCGTGGAAGTGTAGCGGAGCCGACTGGCCTCACGGCCCCGTGCCAGGCTGGAGTGAGCAGGCTGCGCCCTCAGGTGCCGCAGGAGGTCCCGGCACCCCCCTCCTCCCCACCAAAAAACCCAACCACAAAGATGTCTTTTTTGGAGTTTTGGCCCACACCTGTAGCGTCTGTGCTCCACATGGCCAGGGTAGCTGAACAGCAGGGAAACATGCAAACATCTTGCAGGGCCAGGAGGGGGACGGTCCCTGGGCCCAAGGCTACGCCCCAGCAAGGAATTGGCCTTTAAAGCTCTGGTCACCGTCCTTTCTTGGCCCTTCCTTTAGTCCCCTGCCCTCTACCCTATACCCTTGTGTGGTCATGATCCCCAGGGTCAGGGTGGTCTCTTGAACCCTTGGGGAGGCTGGAGGAAAAGCCTGGCAGGAAGTGGCCAAACCTCACCCATACACTTGGTGGCTATCACCCAGCCCAGACAGAAGGCTGTGGGCCTTCAAGGCTGTGACTGGCAGTGCCTCTGGTCTCCCATCAGCCTGCCCCTCCACGCCTCACACCAGCCTGGGCGCTGACAGAGCAAAGCTGTGAGGGCGGTGAAGGCCGGTGAGGGAACAGCCTCAGGCCAGAGTCCTGGCTTCTTCCTTAGCCTCTGACTTGCAGCCAGGGACCTCTCATCCAGGCCTCAATTTTCTTGTTAGTAAAACAGGGATAATAGTTATCTGCAAAAGGAGGCTAATACCAGCCTCAGGTCTGCCCAGGGCACCTGTGGAGATGAAAGGCGATGGCAGCAGCTGCGTCCAGGCAGTCCCGTCGTGGTATGTTCCCAAGAAGCCTGTTGTGGGAACTGGGGTTCTGGGAAGACACTGGATTCACAGTGTTGCTTCAGTGATGTGTTCTTGGCCTCAGGCCAGAGATGGGGCAGAGGCATAGGCACCTATACCTGAGAGAGGGCTATGTGGGAGTCCAGGACCCCCGTCCTCTTTCCTCTCCCTTGCTCCCCTTCCCTGCTCTGGGTACAGAGTGGCTGTAAGATGACCTCGGGAAACCCCTGGTTTGAGGGGCCAGAGCAATAGTATAGCGGGTAGGGCATTTGCCCTGCATGTGACCAACCAGTGTTCTATCCCCAACATCCCATATGATCCCGGGCCCTGCCAAGAATAATTCCCGAGTGCAGAGCCAGGAGTAACCCCTGAGCATGCCGGGTATGGCCTATAAAGCAAGACGAAACAAAAACCACCCCAAATCCACCACCACCACAATGAAAAGGAAACTCCCAGTCCGAGTACATAATGTTCGACCACTGTAGCAAGCGAAGCCCTTGCCCATCTTCCTCAGCAGGCAGTCCTGCCTCTGTGCTCCCCTAAGGTGGGCAAAATGTGGCTTTAGAGACAGGAAAGTGGGATGGGCACTTGTCTTGCATGCAGCTGACCCAGGTCACATTCCTGAAATTGGGTAGGGTCCCCTGATCCCCTATTCGAGTAACCCCTGACCACCACCAGGTGTGGTCCCAAAACAAAAAGCAAAATCAAAAAGTAATCAAATACTTAAGCAGTTTGGAGAGAAGCTCACTTTGGGTCCATTTTTAGTTTTAAGGTGTAGGTTTCTCACTGTTCACAACTGTCAGAATCTGGAAACAACCTGAGTGCCAGAGAATAGATGACTGAATAAGGAAACTATGGTAGCACTGTCCACTATCACACTGTCCTCCTGTTGTTCATCGAGTTGCTCAAGCGGGCCCAGTAACGTCTCCATTGTGAGACTTGTTACTGTGTTTGGCATGTTGAATATGTCACGGGTAGCTTGCCAGGCTTTGCCATGCAGACGAGATACTCTTGATAGCTTGCTGGGCTCTCCAAGAGGGGCGGAGGAATCGAACCTTGGTCGGCTGGGTTGGCCGACCCACGTGCAAGGCAGATGCCCTATTGCTGTGCTACCGCTCCAGCCCCAAAGAAACTATGGTACATCTACAAAATGGAATACTACACAGCTTTCAGGTAGAATTAAGTCATGAAATTTGCTTATAAATGGACATGGAGAGTACCATGCTGAGTGAAATGAGTCACGTGAGGGACGGATATAGAATTACTACGCTCATTTGTAGCACACACACATATGTAGAGAGAATGAGACTAATATCCAAGGCCAGGCTAAATGGGCCAGGAGGACTGGTCAATGGTTGGAAGCTTGCCATGAGTGTGTGGGGTGAAGGGCAGTTAGGATGGAGAAGGGATCAACATGACAATAGTTGGAAATAATCATTTTGACAAGGAACTGAGTGTTAAAAGTAAATGGATATACCTGACAACCTCTGATTATGTTGCAAACTATAAGGCCCCAAAGGAGAGACATAAGAAAAGTGCCTGCCATAGAGGCGGGTGGGGTGGGTGGGGTGGGTTTAGGGTGGGAGGGAAGCTGGAACCATTGGTAGTGGGAAATTTACATTGGTGAAGGGAATGTTGGAACAATATATGACTGAAACCCAATCATAAACAACTTTGTAACTGTATATCAGTGATTCAGTTTTTAAAAATGTAGATTAGGGGCTGGACGATAGCACAGCGGGTGGGGCTGTTGCCTTGCACGCGGCCGACCCGGGTTCAATTCCCAGCATCCCATATGGTCTCCTAAGCAGCACCAGGAGTAATTTTCTGAGTGCAAAGCCAGGAGTAACCCCTGAACATCGCCGGGTGTGACCCAAAAAGAAAAAAAAATGTAGATTTGGGGCTGGAGAGATAGCACAGTGGGTAGGGTGTTTGCCTTGCACACAGCCGGCCCAGGTTCAATTCCCAGCATCCCATATACTCCCCTGAGCACTGCCAGGAGTAACTCCTGAGTGCAGAGCCAGGACTAACCCCTGTGCATTGTCGGGTGTGACCCAAAAAGCAAAAAAATTTAAAAACAACGTAGATTTCTGGGGCTGAAGAGATAGTACAGTGGGTGGGGCATTTGTCTTCCGTGTACTGACCTGGTTTGATCCCCCACATCCCATATGGTCTTTCAAGCACTGCCAGGAGTAATTCCTGAGTCAGGAGTAACTCCTGACCACTACCAGGTTAGGCCTCAAAACAAAACAATGTAGGTTTCCTTGTGACTATTGGGGCAAATTTGAAGCACCCCATTAGCTCCAACTTCTGAATTTTTCCTTTATCTCCTTTGTGGAGCTGAGAGATAGCACAGGGCTTTAGGCACTTGCCTTGTCTATGGCTGACCTGGGCTTGATCTCCAGTATTTCATGTTTCCCTAAAACCTGCCAGGAGGCACTGCACAGGGCCAAAAGCTTCTGAGTACACAGACAGGCTGTGCCTAAACACCCTCTAGAGAGAGAGAGAGCGTGTGTGTGTGTGTGTGTGTGTATCTGGTGGTGGAGATGGACCAGGGACTTGCGTGCAAAGCAAATTCTACAACAGAATCACACCACTGATCTAGACTGTTCCAGTCTTTGTGCACCACCTGGTAGCACTTGAACACAAAGCCTGCGCTCAGCCACTAAGCCATATCCCTAGCTTCCTACCCCCTTTTGTGGGGAATTGGGTGGAGGCACACTTGGCAGTGCTCAGAGTTTACTATTGGTTCTGCACTTAGGACCACTCCTGGCAGGGCTTGGGGGACTATACGGGGTGCCATGGAACCCGGCTGGCTCTGCGCAAGGCAAGTAACCTACCCGTTGTACTCTCACCAGCCCCAAGGTGCTTGTGTTGCCTGCAACTCACCTTGGTTTGTGCACCTGTACATGCCTGGTCCACCCAAGCATCATTAGGGTCAGCCCTTGGACACTGCTGGGTGCGTCCCCCCACTGCAGCAACAGGACTGAGGTAATGGCTTAAAGGGCTGAAGCACATGTGTGAGCCCTGGGTTTGTTCCCCAGCAGGACATGGTTCTCTGAGCAACACCAGGTGTATCTCCTGCCAGCCCCTGCCCCTGGTACACACCAGGCTTGGGAAGTAGATCAAAGGACTGGAGCTTGCCGTGTGGGAGGCCCAGGTTAGATCCCAGACAAGATTCTTGGCACCACATGGTCCCAGAGCAACAAAAACGGGGATGGTCTCCTATGATCACCACTGAAAGTGACTCCTATCCACTGCACAGAGCTCTTGAGCACAAATATAAGGTCCTCTCATCCTGGAGTCATCCTAGCTTGGTGTGTGTGTTCTTGCGCAGACCCCTCCCTCTCTGGTTGCTCCCAGTCTGTCTGGAGCTTCTGGGACCGCCCAGACCAGGACTAGGTATTTCTCCACTGTGATTCTGCTGAGCCCTTTCATAACACCTGCCCCGACACAGTAGGTAACACAAACGCAGGTCACACTCTGGCCAGCCAGTTGTGTTCTGCC